AGCCTTTCACATGATGTATTCTGCATATAAGTTGAATAAGCAGGGGGACAATATACAGCCTTGTCGTACTCCTTTCCCAATTTTGAACCAATCAGTTGTTCCATATCCAATTCTAACTGTTTCTAGCATATTATTATTTCTAAAAAAGCAATCTGGTTGTGTAAAGGTAGATTTCATATTTCAGCTATGGTAGACGTAGACTTAGTTTTTGTTTTGTTTGCTTCAGAGATGGGTAAATGTTAGACAAAACATGTATGTTGCTGTTTCAGGGTGCAGAAGAAGCTTTCAGGTAGGTTGTGGATTTGAAAGTTGAAGATGAGAGAAATAGGAAGGAAGCAAGGTCTGAGCCATAAAGTCACTTGAACACTCTCTAATATTAGTATAGTAGAGCCAGATAATTCCTTGCAAACTGTTCTGCTTCATAGGATGCTGTTGTAGTAAAGATACTTTTAGTGGAAATGGTGTTAGTATTCAGCGCTGTTCTATGTCATTTTGAATGTAATATGTTTCTAATATATACTATATCTTTCAAGTTTGTTAACATCTACATTAATTTATTGTCTTTGATATATAAGACTGAAGTGACTGGTTCTTTTCAGCTTGCGCATTCATGAATCTCAGTCAGTCAGTTCACTGCTATTATACATACTAACCTAGGCTATTTGTTCTCTTCATTTTATAGTACAGCAAGGGTGGTCAACTTTGGTGAGCTGGGGTAGGGAGATTTCTACCCCTAGCCACCAGCGGGGGCACACTGATCAGAAAAGGGTCACATAATAATAATAACAATCATAATAACAAACAACTGGAAGGCCTCAAACAACCACTTTCAGCTTCTCAGAGTGAGTTGTGGAAAAAACTGGCAATCCTAGAGGCATATAGGAGCAGAAGAACCCATTTTTATGAGGAAAAAAGGATGTGGAGTATGTGGGTTCTCACGAGGCAAGAAATGTCCAGGAGGGCAGGTGTTACATTGGTCTTCATTTGCTCGTCCCTGAAGTACAGTAGAGGTAGATTGTTGTTACACCCCCTTTTTTTTAACTTAGGCATCTGTGACTCCCTAAACTCTTGTGAATTTCCATAAAGTCATTTTTGTATCTCCAAATTTCCAAATCCGGTGTTGGATTCCAGAGTTTTCAATTCTGTATTTCTCATGGGCTAGATGTCATTTGGACTACTTGTAAACTATCAAGGCTTGAAAATAAAGCCAGCATTTTGAACAGTAAAATTGAAAAATCAATTAGCATATTGATATAGAATGTTATGTGCTCACTTTTTAATGTATTCAGTGCAGTTCACATTTTTATAATATTACTGTGTCTGTTTTATGTTTACAGCCGACATTATCTCAACAGTTGAATTTAATTACTCTGGAGACCTTCTTGCAACAGGAGACAAAGGTGGCAGAGTGGTTATTTTTCAAAGGGAACCAGAGGTCAGTGCCTTTAAAAGCAATGTAAGGTGGTGGTTAGAACTACTGTGCAGCTTTTGCTTATGACATCACAATGACATATCAACGAATTCAATCAGTCCATTATAATGTGCACCATCAGAATGTTATATAAAGTTTTATTCAAAAATTAAACTTGCTACTATATTTTAGACAGTTGGCAGATGAAACCTTTCTTGGGATATCATTCACTCACCATCATTCTTAATATTATTCATTCGAGACCAGTGTTCCTTCTAAGCTGTGTGGCTGCACGGTGCTGGATTGGGTCATCACAGCTGGAACCCCACTCATGGGAAATTGGAAGAAACATTGTTTGATATTGATTCTGGATTGTTGTACATGCCATGCATGTTCATTCATAAGCAAGCATAAAAAAGCTAAGAAAAATATGTACTCTCTAGCCATTTTGATAATGAATGCAGTGTTCTATAAAAAATTGCATATGTATGTCTTACTTCCTACACAGTTGTTCATGTAGAGAAAATGTCATGTGAATTGACACTCTTAGAAGGAAGAAATTCAGATTTATCAACTGTAGCAAATAGCAGATATTCTTAAAAACTGCAGATAAGAGTGTAATTGTACTAATTTCATATGCCCAGTTGTGTTTATGATTTTTACTTGGGTTTTTACATGTTAGGATGCTAACAAATTGGAAGAAGTTTAGAGGAGGGTGACAAGGATCATCAGGGGGCTGGAAAACAAGACTTATGAGGAAAGGCTGAAAGAATTAGACATGTTTAGCCTTGAGAAAAGAAGACTGAGGGGTGATATGATAGCACTTTTCAAATATTTGAAAGGTTATCATACAGAGGAGGGGAAAATCTGTTCTCGATCATCCCAGAGTGTAGGACACGCAACAATGGGCTCAAGTTAAAGGAAGCCAGATTTCAGTTGAATATCAGGAAAAACTTCCTAGCTGTTAGAGCAGTATGACAGTGGAACGAGTTACCTCAGGAGTTGGCGAGGGCTCCAACACTGGAAGCATTTAAGAAAAAATTGGATAATCACCTGGCAGATATGCTTTGATTGTATTCCTGCATTGAGCTGCAGCTGGACTTGATGAGTCTTGTAGGCCCCTTACAACTAAACTTTTCTTTGATTCTATGATTTTTTCTCAAAAAAAAAAAAAATTGAGATCCTAGTTTGTGTGCCAAATCATTATTTTATCCTTTTTCAGAATTATTTGGGAATTCTGCCTGAGCATAAAGTTCCAAATTTCCTTTGACAACAACTTATAGGCCTAAGAGATCCTCCTCAAGGAATCTGATTTCTGCGGGGGGGGGGTTAAAGGTGAAGAGAGCTGTCAGCAGTAAGCAACAGTCAGTGGTAGTGGCCAAGTGCTACTATCTCACATGTGTATTAATGTGCACCACCCATCTCTGCTACTAGAGAAGGCTTCACACCTCTTTTCCTTCATGTTTTATGCCAGAGATAGCTGTTTCTTGTGATCACTTCTGTTGGTGACAAGGAAGAGGTGGTACATGGGTGTATGTGCAAGTGACTGGTGGCAAGAGCTGTCCATCACATTTTCAGCTCTCACCTGTGTGCCATTTCTTCCACCTTTTTGTGTGTCCTCACACAAGGGAATGTACTTCTCCAGTTTAAGAAACTATCTGCTGACTTTTGAAAGGAAGTCACTGTGGTATACAGATTGCAATGAGAGCAAATGCATTCCTGCTGATTCCAGTGATTCTCTTGTAGAACTCTGAATTGTTGCTTCTTTCCCAAAGGTACAGTAAGAAAGAATGTATTAATGAACAGAATCAACCACAGCACTCTATGTGCTGCTCCATTGTGTTGAAATGTTAGGCTGTATATTTCTTTCCTTAAATTATGCTTCATTGGGAATAAACAAATAATAATGTGTTCAAGTACTGTTTTTGAATTCTAAGAATTATAAAATACAAATATCTGCTTGCATGTGCTATAATAGAGTGATGCCCCACAAGAAGAAAATAATTCATTCTGCGAGTTGTTTCGTATTGCAAAAAATTCATCTTGCAAAGCGCAGTTTCCCATAGGAATGCATTGAAATTTAATTAATGCGTCTTGTGAAGCATGGCCATAGAAAAATTTGTCTTGCGAGTCACCAAAAAATTGCAAAGGGCTTTCATCTTGCGAGTTTTTCATTGCACAAGGCATTCGTTTTGCGAGGCATCACTGTATAGAGTAAATATAATGCTTCACCTGAGGCTAGTGAAAACAAGAAAGTAAAGGGCTTTCCCCCCTGCTAACTGTTATATGAAGTCAAATAAAGATGTAAGTGTATGATTAGATTTCCACAGAGACCTTTGGGATAATTTGCTAAGCTAATATACAGGTAAAATTTGCTTTATCCAAGAATGTTCGAGAATAAACCTGTAATTTTAATAAGGATACATGTACTCCAGTGATGGTTTCCAGAAGTGTTCAGATTTTAAACAAAATTTGAAAGGGTCTTTGAAAATTGTAAATTGTTGCTTTAGAATCTAAACATAGTCTTAATTTTTTAAAAATCTTTTTCCTAGAGAAAAGAGGAGTGGAGGGGCAGTTATCTCTTTCTATGGGTGAGGAAGAGAAAGATAATTATAAACTTTGTAAAATACACATATTTTGAACTCATAAAGCAGGAATCCTAATTAAGGAATACAAGAAGTGGAAGTGTTCATTCAATAATTTTATTCATATATTTTGTGTTATTACTAACATACTTGCTCCCAAATATGTATAATGGTGGTCAGTTTATCTGTGTAGGGAAGCACAGATAATGAACAATTGTTGATATAATTTATTAACTGAAAACTGTTTTGGAACTCATATCTTTCATAGCTAATTCTATTATTCAAGAACACTATGCATCCATAAAAGCAAGAGCTGTGAAGTTTGTGTTACACCATCTCAACACCAAAGAGACAATCCAGCTTTTAAAATGAAAACAGCTTGCTTTTGTTGTCAGATTTTGGAGCACCAACTATAACTTTGTGCATGCTTTGAACCTTCAGTGTTACTACTTTGCCATACAACATGAGGTTCCTTTGTATCTAAATGAATTTGCAAGTGCGAGGACTGGTAGATGGTTCTTTGGTACCCTAGTCAGTGAAATGAAAAAAAGCTTAGAATATGCAGATTATCTTTCAACATGATTTTTTTATATATACATCATTTGATTGGTTGGAATTTTTATAATTTGTTGTCCTTATATGGACGTCACAATATTTTTCTGTTCATACATTTATTTCTTTGCAGAATAAAAGCCGTCCCCATTCAAGGGGGGAATACAATGTTTACAGTACCTTTCAAAGTCATGAGCCTGAATTTGACTACTTGAAAAGTCTAGAAATTGAGGAAAAAATTAATAAAATTAGGTGGTTGCCACAACAGAATGCTGCTCACTTCTTATTATCTACAAATGGTAAGGACATTTTATTACCTAATGTGTATAGCTGTAATTGGTCTAGCTGCACCTAATAACCATGCTTTTATATCTTATTAGTAAATTTAATTGACTTAAAATTTCTGATTTAATTAGAATTAATAAAGTAGTCATGCGCATATCTACCCAGAAGTAAGACTGTTAAGTACACTGGGCCTTACTGCCACGTAACTGTGTAGAGGATTGCATCCTAAATAATTACAGTGATTGTTATAGCTTTCTACAGTTTTTATTTTCACAAAATAAGGTTTAAAATAACTGAAACAACGTATCTATCTGAAATCAGTTGAATCATCTAGCCTTATTCTTATAGGCTAAAAGTAAATTCCCGGTACGGTGTAGTAGTGGACAGACTAGGATACTGGAGAATAGTTGGCTATGGAAAGTCTCTGGGGGAGTGGAGCTGGTAAAACCACTCCTTAGATATCTCACTTACATTGAAAACCCCTGTAAATAGGTTCTGACTTTACGGCACAGAACATCACACACACACACACATAAAAGTGGACAGCATGAATGTGTCCTTGAGTGAAATAAAACAATATCTGAAATAATTGTCTAAACATCAGTTACATCTATTTTAGTAAGGCTAAATTATTGATTGATACCCAATATGGTGTAGTGGATGGAGTGGTGGACTAGGATTCAGGAAATCTATATTCAACTTCCCACAGCTGTAGAAGCTCACCTGGAGGCACGTGGAACTGGAAAAACTACTCCTTAAATATCTCAAGGATCTTGAAAGCCTTATTAGGGTCACCATTTGTTCTAACTTGATGGCACATAACACAAAATGTTGTTAACCCCAGAGATTGGGGAAATAGTAATATTACACTTAATTCTGCTTTGGTCATACTTCACATAGAGTACTGTTTCCACTTGTTGGCACTATAATTTAAAAGAATATTGAAATGTATCCAGAGGAAGGCAGCCTAAATGGTAAGAGGTTTGGCCCTGTGAGGAGGAATGGTTGAGAGACCCTGACATATTTAGCCTGCAGAAAAGAAGGCTGAGAGGCAATATGATACCCATCCATCTTCAGGTATTTGAAGGGCTGTTATTTGGAAGATGTTGCTCAAGGGGATAGGACCTGAAGTAATGAATTCAAGTTTCAAGAAATATTAGGAATAATTTCCTGACAGTGGGAGCTGCCTCAGAGGGTGGTAAATTGTGCTTCACTAAAAATGTTTAAGTAGAGATTGGATGACCACCTGTAACAGATGCTTCTGGTGTGAATTTCCTCCACTGGCAAAGGGCTGGACTCAAATGATCCATGGGGTCTCTTCCAGCTGTATAGTTCTATTGTTCCCTGATTTCTTTAGTACCAGTGAGGGTCCAAGTAGGCTTTACTTTTGAACACAACATGCCCATCCTTATTCATAGTGGGTTGGAAAGTTTCTAAATCATGGCGTGTTCCTATTCTTGCTTGAAAGAATGTTAACTTTAGAAGACTTTTTCATATTGTCAGTTGTAAGATTAGCTAAGCTAGTTTTTAATCTTGTGTTTTTACTTCATTTTTTTCGTAAAGATTGTTTGGAGTGTTGTTTTTTTAAATGTTTAAATCCACTTTAATCACATTTTATAATGTATTATATAAGGAAAATCTCTGAAGAAATGTTTTCCTTTAAAACTGAAGTCTAAAGAAATAATTTTCTGTTCATATAAATTCCTTATCCCTTTTACTCAGTTAGTGCATTGATTTTCTCAGAGAGTATGCACTCTAAATTTAATTTTGATATGTCAGATTATATTTTTAAAAAATATTTTACATGTTTCTGAATGTGATAAAGCATGGTTAGTTGTTTAATGTAGTTTTAAAGTCTTCAGTTAGGCACATTATTGTGGCAAGCACTGCTAAAACACAGGTTTATTGTTCAAGCCCGTAAAGGCACTCCTGACGTAATTATAAATGCTAGCAGCCTAATGCATTTCTTTGCTCAGTTATACATAAGATGACACATGAATTCTCCAGATAAGTTACAGGTTTTTTTCAAGACAACAGGGAGGCCTGCATAGGAGCACTTTACATCTGATGCTTTATTTAAAATTGCTAACAAAACAGCAGTTTAAATTATATCAAATTTTGCCTCTGCTGGAATAGCCATTATGCAAGGATTTGTGTTTTGCCATCCTTCTGCAGGAATTCAAAACAGTACAATGCACATATCAAGTATATGATTTTTTAAAAATATGGTTGAAAGAGTGCAGTCAGTGCTGCTGAAATTTCAGAGTTGAGGCCAAGAGCCGAAATAAGATTCCTAGGGAGCAGGATCTTGGTGACTTATGTAATTTCTTGCTCCTTGTGTCATTTCACCAAACCACATTTGAAAATAGGGTTCTTTTATATCTTATTGTTTACAACAAGTAGTCATTAAGCCTAAAACCTATGAATATATTGAGATAATGAACAAAATAAACATGAAATGTAAAAATTGATTACAGCATAATGTGGAAATATATATTAAATAAAAAGGAGAAAACTAAATTATACCATTAAATGAATACAAGTTATCCTGGACTTAACACATCCTTTTAAAAAAAATAAATATTAAACCTCAATGGCTGAAAGCCTATTCTGCAACTTAGGTTGTATAAATCTGATGATGTCATCAGCCATGATGATTTTTTGGAAGTAAAAATTTTCCATTCCCCCCCCCCCCCCAAAAAAGTTCCTAATGAGATCCCTCTTTTTGGGAAGCTATTCAGGGCTATGGAATGGGTAGAAGTTTTTAATTTATGAAAATCACTTCCACTTGTACAATCATACCACTGGTGGTGATTTTTGGAAAATAAAGCCTCCCTTTCTCTTCATCACATGGTCCCCAGTGCTTCCTGTGAAAAAGGAAAGAAGCCTTTAATAGCCAAAAAATGTCAGATCAGCTCTGGTGTCAGAACCAGTAGTGGAGATCTGGTGGTAATGAAAAGCTCCCCCTGCTGATATTGAGACTCCCAAAGGCTTTCCCAGAGCAAAAGGAAGCCTTGGAATCTAAAAGGGTGGAGTAGGAAGGTTTCAATTAATTTAAATTAAAATTTCCCTTTGCCAGATGGTTACATCATTCAGCTTGCATGGTGTAATGTTACACTGACAGGATCTTTCTCTATATCTAAATAATCTGTACAGTATATGGACATAGATACAAAATGTTAAAATAACTGAGTACTCTGTATTATTTCATAACAAGACATCTTAAAAATAAGTTCTCAATTTAGTGTTTTTAATTAGGGCTTTCCAGTGTCAGGTAAAACAAGTCTTGTCTTATCTACAGAGTCCTCATTTAGTTCAACCAAAAAGAGAATCCTCTTTCTCATTATAATCAAAGACATATCCATAGTTGTTTAATTACACTTCACATGAACTTAGCCAGAGGGTTGAAAAGTGATTTTAATTATATCTGCACAGCTTCTAGAAGGCTCAATCATGCCACAGAAAAGCATCATAGTATCTGAAACAGCATTTTCAGAGGTGCAGGGATTTTGCCAGCTCTGCTGTGTCACAACATCCAAGAACATCAACAAAAACAGTTGTACTCATGCCTTAATGGGAGTTTCATAGAGAAGTGTTTCACCATTGTTTGGTCAGAATGCTAGACTGAGTAGGCTATTGGTGTAATCCAACACTTTCCATGGTTCCACAGCTCCTGTTTTCCAAAAGTGGGTGGAAAATAGCACCTGCACTTTTGATCACTTGAGTTATTGAATCAATAAGAAATGATTTGTTGGACTCCTTTACCAATTCCACAGTGCTCAAGTACCTCCCATCGATCAACAGGAATTCCAGAAAATGGTGTGGTTGGTGGGCCCCATTCTCTCTTGTTTTGCCTTCACTTGGCAAAGGCAGGGAAAATCGCTGTTAGGAATAAAACAGGAGTTGGTCCCTATCATAGATATTGAGGTAGGATCTGCATCTTTCCTTCTTCAAGACTGTATACAAAAGTGAAACTCAATCCTGCTCTACTGTTAGGTCTTTGTATTTGGGATGTCTTGTTTCAGTTTGGAGAGTGGATACGTCCAGCACACTTTTCATCTTTCTAGAGAAGCTCCATCCTAAAATGAAAGGCAACTGCGTCCCTCCATCCACCCTTTCTTTGTCATACACAAAAAACTTGTCTGTGATGACAAATAATGTTCCTTGTGAGGAAGCTTATCTGTGGGCCCCTGATTGGATGAAATATTAGGAACTGAAAAACAAGTTAAACAAAATAAGTGACTTGATATAAATTACACAATTCAGAACATGGGTTGCCTACATGTACAGTTTCAGCTGATTTTTAAAATGTGCAGTATTTATAGTCATGTCTATGTTAAAAAGCATGCTCCGGTTTGAAAACCATACTTCTTGCTGAAATAAAATGATTGTCTGTTATGCAAAGGTGTGTGCGTTTTTTTTGTATTGTTGGATTTCAGCAATTTCACTATACCCTTCTCTTTCTCTTTTTGTTTTTTTGTTTTTAGATAAAACTATTAAATTATGGAAAATCAGTGAAAGGGATAAAAGAGCTGAAGGTTATAATTTAAAAGATGAAGATGGAAGACTCCGAGATCCATTTAGAATCACAGCACTCCGGGTATTTTTTTTTTATCCTAATTCAGTATGAATGAAATATAGTAATGTTATTACCAATTACAGTATGTTACTACCAGTTATACTACAAGCTGTGGAATAGTACTTGTATTGGTTAGTAAAATCCCTTTAGTAAAGGAATGGTCAGCTGGGATGGGATATAACTTGGTGGTAGAGAATGTATTTTGTACACCTAAGGTCCCAGTTTAAGGGACTGATATCCCTACATACAGTTCAGAAAAATTCCTTGGAAAGTCATTGCCAGTCAGTGTAAACCAGCCATTCTTAACAAGTGACATGGGGCCTCTGAAGGCCCTGGCACAGACTGGAAACAGTTCTTCACACACCACCTTATAAGTTTCTTTATGTAACTTATACAATCCTGATTCAGTCTATACTTCTTTCATATTGTGTTTATGGCCAAAAAAAGGTTGAGAACAGCTGGTGTAAACCATACATACTCCCTTCAGATGTTTTTGGATTTCCAAGTGCAAGCATTTTTGATGATTTTCTGTATTAGCTAGGGTTGATAGCAGTTGAAGTGCCATAACATCTGGAGGAGTCCATTTCAACCACCCATGATAAAACTTTATTGCTTAGTCGTTGTGTCTGACTCTTTGTGACCCCATGAACCAGAGCACGCCAGGCCCTCCTGTCTTCCACTGCCTCCCGGAGTTTGATCAAATTCATGTTGGTAGCTTCAATGACACTGTCCATCCGTCTTGTCCTCTTCTCTTCTTGCCTTCACACTCTCCTAACATCAGGGTCTTTTCCAGGGAGTCTTCTCTTCTCATGAGATGGCCAAAGTATTGGAGCCTCAGCTTCAGGATCTGTCCTTCCAGTGAACACTCAGGGTTGATTTCCTTCAGAATTGATAGGTTTGTTCTCTTTGCAGTCCAGGGGACTCTCAACAGCCTCCTCCACCACCACAATTCAAAAACATCAGTTCTTTGGCGGTCATCCTTCTTTATGGTCCAGCTCTCACTTCCATACATCGCTACTGGAAAAACCATAGCTTTGACTATGCAGACCTTTGTCGGCAAGGTGATGTCTCTGGTTTTTAAGGTGCTGTCTAGGTTTGCCATTGTTTTCCTTCCAAGAAGCAGGCGTCTTTTAATTTCATGGCTGCTGTCACCATCTGCCTTGATCATGGAGCCCAAGAAAGTAAAGTCTGTCACTGCTCCCATATCCTCCCCTTCTTTTTTCCCGTTAGGTGATGGGACCAGTGGCCATGATCTTAGTTTTTTTGATGCTGAGCTTCAGACCATTTTTTGCATTCTCCTGTTTCACCCTCATTACAAGGTTCTTTAATTCCTCCTCACTTTCTGCCATCAGAGTGGTATCATCTGCATATTTGAGGTTGTTAATATTTCTTCTGGCAATCTTAATTCCGTCTTGGGATTCATGATGTATTCTGCATATAAGTTTAATAAGCAGGGGGACAATATACAGCCTTGTACTCCTTTCCCAATGTTGAACCAATCAGTTGTTCCATTTCCAGTTGTAACTGTTGCTTCCTGTCCCACATACAGATTTCTCAGGGGATAGATAAGGTGGTCAGGCACTCCCATTTCTTTAAGAACTTGCCATAGTCAAAGGCTTTTGCATAGTCAATGAAGCAGAAGTACATTTTTTTTCCAGAACACTCTGGCTTTCTCCATTATCCAGTGCATGCTAGCAATTTGGTCTCGAGTTCCTCTGCCCCTTCGAAATCCAGCTTGTACTTCTGGGAGTTCTCAGTCCACATACTGCTGAAACCTACCTTGAAGGGTACCTTGTAGGATTTTGAGCATAACCTTGCTAGCGTGTGAAATAAGTGCAATTGTACAGTAGTTGGAGCATTATTTGGCACTGCCCTTCTTTGGGATTGGAATTTAGACTGGTCTTTTCCAATCCTCTAAGGGACGTGGTGGCGCTGCGGGCTAAACCGCAGAAGCCTCTGCTTCAGGATCAGAAGACCAAGCAGTCGTAAGATCAAATCCACGTGACGGAGTGAGCTCCCGTCGCTTCTCCCAGCTCCCACCAACCTAGCGGTTTGAAAGCATGCAAATGCAAGTAGATAAATAGGGACCACCTCGGTGGGAAGGTAACAGCGTTCCGTGTCTAAGTCGCACTGGCAATGTGACTACGGAAGATTGTCTTCGGACAAACGCTGGCTCTATGGCTTGGAAACGGGGATGAGCACCGCCCCCTAGAGTCGAACACGACTGGACAAAAAATTGTCAAGGGGAACCTTTCCCTTTACCTTTCCAATCCTCTGGCCACTGCTGAATTTTCCAAACGCGCTGACATATTGAGTGTAACTTAACAGCATCATCTTTTAAGATTTTAAATAGTTCAACTGGAATGCCATCACCTCCACTGGGCTTGTTGTTAGCCATGATTTCTAAGGCCCACTTGACTTCACTCTCCAGGATGTCTGGCTCAAGGTCAGCAGCCACACTATCTGGGTTGTCCGGGACATCCAGATGTTTCTGGTATAATTCCTCTGTGTATTTTTGCCACCTCTTGATGTTTTCTGCTTCTGTGAGATCCCTACCATTTTTGTCCTTTATCATATCCATCTTTGCACAAAAGGTTCCTTTAATACCTCCAGTTTTCTTGCACAGATCTCTGGTTTTCCCTTCCTATTATTGTCCTCTATATCTTTGTACTGTTCATTTGAGAAGGCCCTCTTGTCTCTCCTTGCTATTCTTTGGAAGTCTGCATTCCATTTTCTATAACTTTCCCTATCTCCCTATTTCTTTGGTGTCAGTTCCAGAAGGTGTTACGTTGGCAATCTGAGAGCTTGTACCATATTACGTCACCTATAATAGGTCATATTTGAACCAATTAGAAGATAGGACACATCTGGAGAGCCTTTGAAGCTTGTTCTTGCATTGGATTATGCCCATGTCATATCAGACTGTTTTTGCAGTGCTGAAGTTCCAGGTGGGATGCCAAGCTGATGGGGAAGGTCAGGGAGACGGTTCAAGAAACAAGTGAAAAGTAGTGATGTACAATACATATGTTTCTTTCAGTTTTAGTGATCTAATTTCACTAAATTTATTTGTGCATGCGTTGTCCTGTAATCTGTCATTTTTAGAACATGCAAAGCATGTATTGGACAATACTTTCAATATTGGTTGTCAGTTTTTTAAATGGTATATTTTGAGTACAATTTCAGTGGCATTGAGTGTCTTTAATAGATGTTAATTGCAAATGAAGCTTTTCAACGTATAATTTTCCACGAAGATAGCTTTCACTACTGGCAGTTTCATTTGAATACTATTGGACTGTCACTCTTACTGTAGGACATGTCCGAAATGCAATACACTTTTTGATTTGCAAATATTGGAAAATGCATATTATTGTCAAGGAGATGCAGTTGAAATAGTATTCTGGGACAGGTTATTTTGAATGCAGATTTAGTCATAATTATCATTGACCAACTGAAATAAAGGCATAACTAACGTCAAACTGATTTCACTTCAAACTGATTGAGGTGTACTCAAACTTTGGGTGCCTGCAACCTCTTATTACCAGATACTTCATGAATTTCACATTGCCGGCACCAACATTCCCTCTAATTCTCTGGAGATCTGTGCAGAGGCTCCATCCCCTGCTCACAGAGTTCCAGCTGCAAACGGAAATGAACAGGCAGATACATTTGCTGGGCTGTGCATATCCACTGGAATGGCATGCTTGTGCATGCCCACACAGCTTAGAGGGAATATTGACCAGCACACTTGAGAGTCTCCATGCATGTTCCCTCTGACTAGAAAGAGTAGTGTGCTCATCTGTGCAGCAAGTGCTTGCAAATACTATGGCTTTAACATGGAAAATTTACTGGGGATGGAAACTGGGACAACATTCCTCTTGCTGTTTGTTCAGGCTACAGATCTTCAACCCGTTGGGAGTACTGTCAGGTTTGGGATTATTCCATGGGACTTCAGAGTAGGCATGTAAAAGATTGTTCTGGTATTCTCTGAGAACCTTTAAGAAAGGATGTGGCCTGATGAAAACACTGTTGTAGAACTTCTAGAATAATTAAATCATAATTAATCATAATGAGGGTTGTGATTAATAATCATCAAAGGTTTAGGAAACTGATCTGGCTTGCATTTAAAAGCTTAATCCGCTGAAGGTTAAGATGCTTAAAATGTTAATAACCAAAACCATTTCTTTTTTATGGAGAAGTAAGCAAGTACTGTATTCCTTTTCTTCATTTTTAGGTGCCAATACTGAAACCTATGGACCTAATGGTAGAAGCAAGTCCCCGAAGGATATTTGCAAATGCACACACGTATCACATAAACTCTATTTCAGTAAACAGTGATCATGAAACATACCTTTCTGCAGATGATCTAAGAATCAACCTGTGGCATTTAGAAATCACAGATAGAAGTTTCAGTATCCTTTTTGGTATGAAATTCAGTATAATGTAGTACACTGAATCGTTGATTGCTTATTAGTCTTCTGTGGCAAATATTGCTAGCTTATATTATTTACACTGTTCTATGTTAACAGTCACAATGAAGCATAATAGAGAACCTTGTAATTCGGTTGCTCTCTTCACTTCAATAAACTCTAGGTATTGCATTTTTTAAAAAAAAAACTTTTATATATACTAAAGTTTGATTACTGCTAGAATAAGCAACTGTTCTTCTATTGACAGTTGAATGGACCCACTCCATTGTCTTTCTCTGCGTCTTTTGGTGCCACTAAATTTCATTTCTCACCTGACTATTCTCTTTTTGGCCCAAAGGTGGTATGTGACCCTAGGGCTCTAGGTGCCCCACCATGCCTGTTTGGACTTGCAGTCAAAGTTGCTGTAAGTTTTAGAGGAAAATTGCTGTAAGTTAAGATATCTCCATAGATAGTATCTGTTACATACTGAGTAATAGAGCTCAATGTGCAACAGATATGGTCTATGGAGATTTCTTAACTTACAGCAATTTGCCTCTAAAAGTTATGCCATTTGTGTAACTGTTTGTTGGATTACATTGGGTACTCAAGGTGCAGTCGGACAGGCATTTGTCCTGCATTTTATTTCAGGCAGGGGACACACTGCTGCTCTCCTTCTCCCAGCAATCACTCAATGTACATGCAATTGCCTGTCCCTGATTGATGCCTGCTGGTGCCTTTTTTGGGTTCCTGTCAGGGTCTCTCTCTCTCTCTCTCTCTTTCTCTCTCATGTTCATTAAGTGGCTTAAAGCAAAGCATGGAAAAAGAAACGTTCTTTTCCTTTAAAAAGAAACATGATCTGTCTAGATCAGTGGTCCCCAACCTTTTCCCAACCACGGACCAATTGGGCGTGGCATGCATGTGCACAGTGGCACTTGGGGACACTCACGCGCATGTGTGTGGTGTGTTCACAGGAGCGGCTCACGAGCATGTGCACGGTGGCACTTGCAGGGGGCAGAAGATTTGTGTCAGCTGCCTGGTCCTGCCTAGGCCGCAGACCGCTGCCGGGTCACAGACCGGGGGTTGGGGACCCCTGGTCTAGACCATGTTCATTAAGATCTCTTGAGATGCACAGATACGCAGATAACATACTGCACCTCAAAGCAACCCTATTAAGCATGATCTAGATCAGGGGTGGGCAATTAATTTCTATAGGGGGGCACATGAAAAATCTGAACTGTGTTCGGGGGCTGAACCAACTTTACTTAAAAATAAAATGAAACAGTGATGTTATGATTTTTACCTAAAGAGGTTTTTTGCGGTATGTTAAAGATAAGCAGCTTATCAACTTAAGACAAAAGGTTATACAGTGGTGCCTCGCTTAGTGAGCGCTCCGTTTAGCGATGAAATCGCTTTGCGACAAACTTTTTGCGATTGCAAAAGCGATCGCTTTGCAATATTCCCTATGGAGGAATTTCACTTTGCGATGATCGGTTCCCTGCTTCGGGAACCGATCATCGCAAAGCGACCATTTTCACACACCTGATCAATGGTTTCAAAATGGCCACCGGCTAAACAAAATGGCCGCCCGCTGTTTTCTGGGACGGATTCCTCGCTTAAAAGGCACCGAAAATGGCTGCACTATGGAGGATCTTCACTGAACTGTGAGTTTTAAGCCCCTAGGAACACATTAATCAGGTTTTAATGCGTTTCTATGGGCTTTTTAATATCGCATAGTGACATTTTCGTTCAACAGCGATTTTTGTGGAACGAATTAACGTCGCAATGCGAGGCACCACTGTAAATGGTTTTGATGTTCAAAACTGTCTGTGGGCCAGACAGAAGCGGCTCATGGGCCGTATGTGGCCCTCAAGCCACACTTTGCCCAGGTCTGATCTAGATCAAGCTTGGTTAATTGGGCTGTCTAGTTACATCCTAAATTTGGATCAAGCCTTACATTTTCCTGTGAACATTTGCAGTATTGATTGCACAATGTTGAACAGAAGAGGTTGCTTGTGTGTGGATGTTAATTTGTGAAAAGACTTGTCTTGCTTCCACAAGTTTCACGTACAACAAATTTCTAACTTGGTTCTGTAAGGAGGATGGAGGCATTAACTACTGCTGGTCTTGTCTTTGCCTTTGTATCCCTGGTGTCTGCATTTCTATAGTTACATGTATAATTTAATAAACAGCAAGCTTTTACTACAAATCAACTGTTAAGATGAAAATGCTCTTTTGGAAGCTAAACAAGATGTCTGTTTTGATAAATACTATAGAACTGTGGTACTGATTATAGGTTTCTCTTCCAGTGAGGCAGTTAATTACATTTGAGTAATTAATTGTAACAACATGCTATTTTTTAAAGGAACAAGTTAACCTTTACAAGCAAATTTTCAGACATTGTAGATATAAAGCCTGCTAACATGGAGGAACTGACAGAGGTGATAACTGCAGCAGAATTCCACCCTCATCATTGTAATGTGTTTGTGTACAGCAGTAGCAAAGGAACTATACGTCTTTGTGATATGCGTTCTTCAGCCCTTTGTGATAGACACTCAAAATGTACGTAGTTTTTCTGTTTTTCACACCATTATCAGAAATATATGGGTATGCTTTTAGCCCTATAAATAAAGAAATATTAATTTTTTCTTTTTTGCAGAGAACTTAAGCAGTGTCTTACGTAATGTAAGAAATACACATACAGTATTGTAGAACAGAAAATCAAAATTGTTTTCTAGATGATCTACAAGCTAGGACTAGTATGAGATACTACTTAATGTGACATGTTCACCTATCTATAAAAAAAACCTGACGGCAACAAGTGTGTGACATCAGGGAAGCCTGCCTTCTATCCAGTCTTTGCTTCTCAAAGATATATGTTAATTGATGCAAGGCAGGCTTTATCTTTTAACAATAGAGTTGATATTGACAGAATCCATTTCATTTCCAGTTAGAGATAGGGATATTGGTATTCATAAACGAATATGAATATCCCCATCCCAGGTGCACCTAATGCAGGTCCAGCCCTCGAAACCGGCCCATCCACTCATGCCACCACACTGCCAGCCTCCTGCTCCTCTCACTAACTGTGGAAGTAGCTCCATTGTCTCCTTGCTCTTCTGGCCACTCAGCAGCCGTGCAGGGAGACTTGTCCTCCCATCCCCTACCTGCAGTGGTCAGCCGATCCAGGAAACAGCAGAGGAGAGAGAATAGCAGGAGGCTGGCGGTGTGTGGCAGCTTCTTAGTGGGCGGGGCAGTTATGAGGGCCGGACCCCCCCATTAGGTGCACCTGGGGTGGGGATATTAGTACAGTGGTGCCTCGCTTAACGATTGCCTCGTTTAGCGATGAATTCGCATAACGATGTGTTTTTCTAGAAAATAATATGCATCGCATAACGATGTTTCCTGTGGGCGATTTTCGCTTAGCGAAGTTTGGGACCATGCTTCGCATAACGAATGCGATTTTAGGTCCCCTGCTTCACTTAACGATGTTTCTTTTTTCAATTAAAAAAGTGTCTTAGAAGGGTCAAAAACGGTTCTAAATGCTTGGATTTGTTAGAGGACCCCTTAAGTCATGTGCAAACCTGATTTGGCTTTGATCTGACTTTTCGTTAATTTTTTGTGAATTTTTTTTTTT